GGCTAAGACCCCTGCTCACACGTATGATGAAGTATTGAGGAGATGCAGGAAATATATCAATCTCGAGGAGACTGAGGCGGAGTTTGCCAAACTAGAGGAGCTAGGTCGAGGAGAGCCTAGGAAGGAGAAAGCGGTGTCGCCTAAGAGGAAAGCCTCGCCCAGGAGGGAGGGGCGAGCTAAACAAGATCGAGGGCGAGAGGACAAGTGGAAGGATCGACCTATCTCTGGAGGGAAGAGATTCCACGATTACACCCCCTTGAACGCGAATGTAGCCGAGGTTCTGATGGCTATGGAGAAAGGGATAGATGGGAAAGATGTGACGTGGCCAAGGTCAAGGTTCGAGGGGCCCACCCAACCGAAGTCGAGGAGATATTGCCGCTTCCACAAAGACTATGGCCATACTACGAAGGATTGCCGGCATCTCAAGGACTAGATTGAGCGCCTTATTCGAGCAGGACATCTCAAGGAGTTTGTTTATCAGGATAAAGGAAGGAGGAAGGAGAAGAGAAGGTGTCGGGAGGACTCGGTAGAGAGGAGTGAGGAAGATGATGATGAGGATGCACGAGGTGGTCGAGATGGTCGAAAAAGGGATGAGGAAAAGAGGAGGCGAAGAAGTAGGGAGCGGGAGAGAGAAGGAGATGTAGGCAAAGTAAAGAGAGGCACAATATACATGATTTCAGGAGGACCGACGGACGGAGACTCAAACAATGCGAGGAAAGGCCACGTTCGAGCGATGAAGAGGAAGAGGGAGAAGGTGAGTATCGCGGCCCGCATGCCGGTAATAAGTTTTAAGGCGGAGGATGCCGAGGGAGTGGTTCTGCCACACAATGATGCCTTGGTGATAACCGCGGAGATCGCATGCTTCGATGTGAAGAGTGTGTTCATTGATACCGGGAGTTCGGTGGATGTGATGTTCTACGACTGTTTTGTGCAGATCAACAGGGAGCTGAATATGGAGTTGAAACCAGTGACCACAACGCTTTATGGCTTTAATGGAGGAAAGGTTATGCCGATGGGGGAGGTTAGTTTGCCCGTAGCATTGGGATCAGGAGAGTTGAGAAAGGTGCGCATGGTGAGGTTCGTGGTCGTAGGCGCTGAGTCGTCTTATAACATCATCATGGGGCGGACGAGCTTGAACGCATTCCAGGCGGTCGTGTCCACGTACCATATGACGATAAAATATCCGGTGGGCGAAAACGTGGGTGAGATCGCTGGGGATCAGCTTACCTCGAGAAGCTGCTACAAAACTACCGTGAGCAACAACAAACAGCTGGCAAGGAAACAAGGAGGCTCTAAGGAAGGGACGGTCGATCGACCAGGAGGGTCAAGGTCGAAGGAGGAAAAGCCCAAACTGGAGAGGGGGAGAGAGAGTGCAGAAATACAGCCGGGGGGTGAAGTAGAGGAAATACATATGGTCGAGGGATGCGAAGAGAGAAAATTTCGGATCGGAAAGGAATTGGAAGAGCCGGTGAGATCGAAGCTCATTAAGGTGATAAGAGATTTTGCAGATGTGTTCACATACTCGCCGGAGGAGTTGACGGGCATTAAGGCCGAAGTTATTGAACATCGTTTGAACATCGACCTTACAGTAAGGTCGGTGAAGCAAAAGAGGAGGCACCATGGGGCAGAGATGGATAGAGTAATTGAGGCGGAGGTGGAAAAACTCTTAATGGCGGGCCACGTAAAGAAGATCAAGTTCCCACAGTGGCTCTCGAACACGGTTATGGTCTCAAAGTCAGAGGGGAAATGGCGGATGTGTATAGATTTTCGAGATTTGAACAAGGCATGCCCGAAGGATTTATATCCACTCCCCAGGATCGACCAGCTGGTCGATTCCACAGCTGGATGTGAGCTACTCAGTTTGATGGACGCATCTCAGGGGTATCATCAGATCCCGCTAGCTCGAGAGGATTGGAAAAGGGTCAGCTTTGTAACAAGCCGGGGGACATACTGCTACGTGGTGATGCCGTTTGGGCTCAAGAATGCAGGGGCGACGTATTAGAGATTGGTGGATAAGATTTTTAAAGATCAACTGGGGAGAAACATGGAGGTATATGTAGATGACATGCTGGTAAAGAGCAAGGAGGAGATTGATCATGTAAACGACTTAAAAGAGACATTCATGACCCTTCGGAGGTATGGGATGAAGTTAAATCCTGCTAAGTGCTCATTCGGGGTCAAATCAGGGAAATTTTTGGGCTACATGGTCACGAAGAGGGGGATCGAGGTCAATCCAGAGAAAATGAGGGTGGTGATCGAGATGCAGCCCCCTACGAAGGTGAAGGAGGTGCAGATCCTAACTGGTCGAATAGCAGGCCTGAGTCGCTTTATTTCCAAGGTAGCTGAGAAGAGCGGGCCCCTATTTAAGACACTCAGGAAGAGCTCAAAATTCCAGTGGACAGAAGAAGCCCAGAAAGCATTCGGGGAGTTGAATAGGGTACTGGTCGACCTACCGCTATTGGCGAAACCAGCGCAAGGGGAGGACTTGGTGTTATATGTATCCATTAGTGAGACAGCAGTGAGCTCTGTGTTGTTGCGAGAGGAAGGGACAACCCAATTTCCAATATATTATGTGAGCAAGGTGATGCAAGGAGCGGAAAGGAGGTATTCAGAAATTGAAAAAGGAGCCTTGGCAGTGGTGGTAACAGTAAGGAAGCTAAGACCATATTTTTTAGGACATAAAGTGAAGGTCCGGACGAATATGCCATTGGAAGAAACATTGGGTCGACCCTCCGTATCAGGGCGATTAGTCAAATGGGCGGTCGAGCTAAGTGAATACACAATTACTTATGAACCAAGAAGGGCGATTAAGGCTCAAGCACTGGCTGACTTTATTCAAGAAGGGACGAAGGAGAGCGGGGGGTCTGAAGGGGTGTGGCAAGTGTTTGCGGATGGATCGGTGTCAAGGGTAGGAGGTGGCCTAGGTATCGTACTTATGTCGCCGAAAGGTGACAGCTTGGAGTTCGCAGTGAAAGTGGCCTACCAGATATCAAACAATGAAGCGGAATATGAAGCGGTCATTAAAGGACTCAAGCTGGCCTTAAATGGCGGAGCTCGAGCAGTGCAGGTGCATTCAGACTCACAATTGGTGGTGGGTCAATTCCAGGAAGGGTTCGAGATCCGGGAGGAAAGGATGACGAAGTATGTTGAAGAGATAAAGAAGCTGCAGGGGGAGTTTGATTCCTTCGAATTAATCCAAATACCCCGAGGAGAAAATGGTCGAGCAGATCTGCTGGCTAAAATGGCGCAAAGTCTGGTG